TTTTATTGGGGAATTGGGGGAAGGGAACAGCTAAGTTGTTGTCCTTTAATCTTAGTTGTGGAGGGCGCAGCTAGCTCAGCTCCAAGTCCATTTGCGCCGCTCAGCTCAAGGTGCCGTGTTCAATCTTAGTTGTGGGTTGGAAGTAGCCCACCATCCCATGTGGGAGTTGTACCAGCAACCTTGTCATTAGGAGCACGTGCTCTCACCAGCTAAGCCATCCTGCCACCTGTTGGCAGCCCAGCGGCAGCTCAGCTCAGACACAGCTCACTGGCCCATGTGGTAATCGAACTGGCAATCCTGTTTTTTAGAGCTCGAACCCTTGAACAACCTCTTAACCAACTGAGCCACTTGGCTGGCCCCTGTATCATGTATTGTAGAAGAAGCTTTAGGCTTCTGTTTGATTTCTGGTTTTTAAAATTACAGATAATTAAAATTTCCTTCTTTATGCATACCTGTATTTTCTGATTTTTCAGAATGTTTTAGTTTGTATTATGATTTTGTAAAAATGTTTTCAGAAGGGCAGTTCTTCACTGTTTCTAAGCTGAAACCCAGTTTTGAACTCTGCAATGCCATAGTCCAAAGAAGTGGTGACTGTTGATACTGCACATTCTCTTATTTAATACATATGAATGAGTGGTTGAGCAAATGTTTTTAAAAAACCCTTATAGACTTTCTGGGGTCTTTATGTCTTTTTTGTTTGTTTGTTTTGTTTTGTTTTTGTTAAGTTTGGAAATGAAACTTCAATGTTTACACCTTATTTGTAAGCCATTTTTTAAATGTAAGGCTTTAAGCATACTGTTGTAACTGTAAAACAGGTAAGATGTCTGCTCATTAACCTAAGATGTCTGTCCAAAGGTGCTTGCTTGGTCTTGCTCCCCTGTGATGCCAGTACACCCACTCTGCATACTAGTGGAAAGCTTGTCAAACATGTTCAGTTCTTCTTCCTTTTTTTCTTACTAATTTGTTTGCAGTTTATTTTCTGTGAATCTTTGAAAGGATTAAACCATGGTTTTTCTATTAGCAATTTTAAAAGACAAAAAAGTTGGTCAAGGGATATTTGCCCATTTCCCTTTCTTCAGGATCAGAGTCATATTATCTTCCCAAGCAATCATAATTTTATGCAAATACATGTATTCTTAAAGTTTTTAGGACTTAGGCTAAATTAATCTATTTTTAACCTACTTTAAACTGTCTCCTTTCACTTTCTAATACAGAACTCTGACCCATCTTTTGATTTTACTTTCATTATTTATAAATCCTTGACTACTTGACAAAAATATATTAGGTCTAAAAGTCATAACACTTAAGGCAGAATTGCAAAATGTTTACAAATACTGATTTCTGTACCGGAAAAGCTTAGGAAAGAATAGATGAATTCTTTTTGCAAAATTATCTCATTTTCACCACTTCCCAAGTAATCTTTGATTCCTTTAAAACAAAGTGCCTCTTTTTTTTTAATTTTATTTTTATTGGGGAACTGGGGGGATGGGAACAGTGCTGGGGAATTGGGGAAGGGGAACAGACAAGTTGCTGTCGTTTTGTTCTTCAATCCAGTGTCACTGGCCCTCATATGTGGGATCTGAACCGGGGCCCTCTGGCATCCCAAGCCAGTTCTTAACCATCGCGCCACTCGGCCGGCCCAAAACAAAGTGCCTCTTAATATCCAACTATTCAAGGTTATGATGGGCCAACTTGGATTCTGATGGAAAGTGACTTATTAAGCCTCTCTGAGAACAGCCTTTCTGTTCCATCATTTCAAAACATCATAATAATAGTAATGATAATAGCTATCAGTTATTAAGGTGTTTTTTTCCCTAGGGATTATGTAAACTATTTAAAATTATGAATTCTATGCTTCTTTGGAGGCATCTTAATGGTTGATTTCATTTTGAAAAACGATTTTAACTAACTAGATAATTTTTGTGTGGGTACTCCCTAAAGTTCCTTTTAGGTTAACACAGTCAATGATAGTAACCTTGTTTGAAATTTGATAATAAAAGATAATTTTATGAAATACCATTATCCTAAATGTGATGAAATGGACACGACAGCTTGCTGTTTACTTGCTTACTCTTAATTTTGAGTGTGGACTCTTGGGTTTTGAAACAGGCTTTACCAGTATTACAGCTCAGCAAAAATGCAGCTGAAGCATAAAGTTCTCTTTCTGCTCCCCCATTTAGCTGTTTTGTACACCCGCTGCATTTATGGAAGAAGCTAAGTTTATCCGAGGACCAAAGCTTCCTCAAAGCATGTGGTGATGGACTCTTCCTCTCAAAAGTTTGCAGAGGGTTCTACAAGTTTTAGGTTTTTCTTTAGTTGTTTGGTTTATCTTGATTTCCAGTCTTACTTAGTTGTCATTAGGGATTTTTGAGTAGGAGGAAATTAGATTTGATGGTACTTAATTTCAGACTAATAAAATTAATGGAGGTTTATCTAATTGTGAAAGTTCCTGACACTCATTTCTGGATTGGGCGGGTATATTTGTATCATTTATTGCCTCTGGGAAATAAAGGGGTATAATTTTAATGCCATTGCAGTTCTGCTTTTTGATGTGTAGCTTGTTATTGTTGAACTGTCTAGAAATTAAGTACTGTGTCCTTTTGGTTGCACTTGAAAATTTGCACATTTTAAATATTATTCATAGAATTTGTCTTGTCCTGAGTAAGTAATTGTACCAGCATATCTTTCAGCAGGGAAGATCTTAGTGCCAAGATTTTTATGTTTTTCTTCTTTTTTTAAAATTACTAAAGTAATAAATGTTCCTTGTTTTAAAAAACAAAACTAGAAACAATGCAAAAAGTGAAAGCTTTTCTTCCCCATGTACACATACTTTTACTAAATGCTTTATAGTTTTTTTCCCCCCAAATTATAATTAATACTTGAGCTCGTTAAGTGCTCTACATATATTAGCCCATTAAACCCTCACAACTTTCTGAACATACCCTATAAAGTAGGTTCTGTTTTATGTCCGTTTGCAAACGAAGAAACTGAGGCATGGAGAAGTACAAAGGCTGCACAGCTAATAAGCAGCCCAGCTGAGCTTTGAGCCCAGCAGTCTTGCTCCAGGGTTTGTGTTTTAACCTCTGTGCTGCCTCTGGGATCTTACCATGCATGTCGTTTGCGGTTTGCTTTTTTCACTTAATGATACGTGATGGACATCTTTCCGTGGACCTCTGTCTCCCCCTTAATAATTATGTAGTATTCCACTATAGTTTACCAAAATTAATTACTTAAGTTGATGTCTTTCAAATTTAATTTTGTATTGCCAACCCCATCAGTAATGATTTCAAGTAGTATTTTTAAAAGTCAAGGTGTTTGAACTAAAATGATCAGAATTCATCAGTATTTACTAAATAATACCTATTAACTGTCCAGATATTTTGATAATCTCTCAGTTGAGTTGTATATTAAAATCTGGTTTAATCCACAGCTATTTGTTATACATGGATTCATTATTTTTGTGGTTAGTCTGCCTTATTTATAGCTCTGGAAAATTAGTAGTGTATTGGGGGTAAAATCAACATCTGTTTGGATTTTATTAACTTTTGGTAGGGTCTGGAATTTTGGTGTCATAACAAGAAGTCTGTTGTAATGTTAATTTGAATTCCGAGTACTATCTGGCTTTATATTACTTGCATCTTCAAACTATTGTGCCCTTTTTGGGTTTTTTGTTTGTTTCTTTAAGAGGATATTAGATCGTTTATTTAATTTTAATTTTTTAAAAAAAATTTTATTGGGGAACAGACATGGTCATTGGTTACACATTGCTTTCATGCTACAATGGCGTAGTTGACTCTTTTGAGGAGGGTGCAGCTCACATTGGCCCATGCGAGGATTGAACTGGCAACCTTGGTGTTATCAACACCACGCTGTAACCAGCTGAGCTAACTGGTCACCCCTAGATCGTTTATTGATTACACATGATAATGGGTGATGCACAAGCTTTATTCCTACCATAATTTTATATGGTACCATAATTCAATTTAGATATATTGCATAAGATGTGCCAACAATCATTAATAACTAAATAAACTCCATGACTCTGTTTGGGTGAACTCCAGGTCACACACAGTAACTGTCAGTTCAACTACACCAAGGTTTCTGAAGACAATGGCTTCTGTGTCCAAACAGGTTGTAAATAAATTTCACATAGAGCCTGACAATACCCCGAAGGAATTCTAACTTCACAATGTTGAGGTAATTTACCAAGATGGCTTCAGAGTAGACTAATTTTACGCAGCACATTTAAAAAAATGACACATTTATTCAACATCATGATCAGACTATTACATTTAGCAATCAACAGCATGGGTGCAAAAAAAAAAAAATCTACATTAAAACCCT